GGCCACGCCACAATCCCTTCTCCTCCATTCTCCTCTTGGGATCTTGGGCACGCATGCACACGCGCCCGGTGTGAGTTTAAGCCACCAGGTCTGGGACTTGAACTGCGGTTGACTACATAGGAGTCCAGTAACATAGCCATTACGCTAACTGCTGGTCCCAAGATCACTATCTTCTCAGAATGTGGTAGTTACTAGATAAAGCCTTAATGCCTTAATTGCTATATTTGCTTCAGGTCATGCTGCCTAGGTCATTCATTAATTCACTACTGTAAGGTGCTTTTTTTTTTTTTTTTAAGAATTATTTATTGTATTTATTATTGTTGTTGTTATGCAGTTAGACCAGGGAGAAACACTCGCTCGCACACACACACACACACACACAGGCAAAGAGAGAAAGCAAGTTTGGTACTCGAACTATAGTCAGCCTTGTGGGAGCCCAGAGTCTTAACCACCACACCACCTGCCAGCCCCTGTAAGGTGTTTGTTTCTTGTGAGCAAGCAGTTCCAGTGCAAGCTTGACTATTGTGCCTCCATCTTCAGACCTTTAATCTTGACTGCCTATTTCCTTAGGGTTCTATCTCCTATCCCAATATGTGTAGAAAACTCTAAAGACGTGACTAAAGAACTATTATATTTTTAAAGTGGCGGGATACAAAATTAAAAAATGAAAATTAGTGGCAATCTGACAAGGGGTTAATATCCAAAATATATGAAGAACTCATACAACTCAGTACCCCAAATACAAATAACTAGATTTAAAAGAAGTAGGCAGTAAATAAACAGTTCTCAAAAGAAGAAATTAAAATGACAAACAAATACATGAAAAAGTGTTCAAGACTCTAATCATCAGGGACATGCAAATCATAACCATAATGAGATGTCACCTCATACCTGCTAGGTTGGCTATTGTCAAAAGACAAAAGGTAAGTGTTTATGAGAATGTGGAGAAAGGGGAACCTTTGCACACTGTTAGCAGAAATGTAAATTGGTAAAGCTATTATGAAAAACAGCATGGAGGTTACTGAAAAAATTGAACACATCACCTCCATAAGATCCAGCCATCCCACTTCTGGGTATATAATATGCAAAAGAACTGAAAACAGTATTGAGAGGAGATACCTGTGCTCTCATGGTCACTGCAGCATTATTCAAAACAAATATGGAAACAACCTAGATGTCAGCCTACAGATGAATGACAAAATAAAACGGGCTATTATCAACCCCTGGGGGCCACATAGATAAAACCTCAGTACATTTGGTAAATGAAATAAATGAGAAAAACAAAAATACTTTCCAATTTCATTGACATGTGAATTTTGGGAAGATATTTAAGCATTTTTAATTGACAGATAAGATCATATATATTAATATTTATTGCATGTGGGACCAGCAGATGGAATAACAGTTATATCATTGGACTCCCACGTAGTTGATCGTGGTTTGAGTCCTGGATCTGGTGGTTTCAAACTCATACTGGATATGTGTGTGTGAGTGTGTGTGTGTATGTGTGTGTGTGTGTGCCCAAAATCCCCAAGAGGGAGATAGAAAAGAAGGGATTGTACTGTGGCCCTCCTCCCAGGAGGGCGATTTCTCACTTTCTGTCTCTCTGTGTGTCTGTGGCAAGCACATGTACCTCATAGCAAAAATCTTTCTTTCTTTCTTTTTCTTTCTTTCTTTCTTTCTTTCTTTCTTTCTTTCTT